GAGTCTCTTATTTGCCTTGGTTTCCTTCAGCGTGTATGTCCACTGTAAATAGCTTCTGGCTCGTGCTGTCTGCCTCGAACTGAAACTGGCCCTTAGGGCAAAATGTCATGTTGAAGCAGTGGCTTAGCCTGCTTAGGAAGGTGGTTTTGTTTGCAATAGTGGGGAAGACAACCATTTTCCTCTCTGGCCGAATGAGTTCAGAGTGTTTATTCCTGGAAGAATGCCTTGTCCTGGCAGGCTGGGAACCTCACCTCTCTTTCTGCTTGGCGCTCTTAGGCAGGGTCTGCAGATTGAACTGCAACATGTTCCGTCGATCTTTGTCTCTGCGGAGATTACGCTGGGAATTAGGAAAAAAACATCCATGTTAAAATCTTTAAGATTTGGCTACAGTAGGAAGTGCTTCATGGGAGGTCATTAGCCTAAGTTCAGAATGCCAAATCCAAGTTGTACATTTTATTCTTATTATTTTTTAATGCTTTCTTGATTTTAGAGGGAGGAAGGGAGAAACATTGATGAGAGAGAACATCAATTGGTTGCCTTGGAGACTAAACCCGTAACCTAGATATGTGCCCTGACTGGGACTCAAACCCACGACCTTTTGATGTATGGGACAATCCTCCGACCAACTGAGCCACACATGCCAGGGCCAAGCTGCACATTTTACTTTGCTTTTACTCTAATAATCAACAGTCTGGGGGTTTAGTTAGTAGCTTAGATGTACGTTCACACAGATGTACTATTTTACCGAAGTAAGTTTACTGGCTCTTTATTAGAGTGGCTGAGTTTGCCTCTTTATGTAATGAGATGTGATCCAACCGGACCATCTGCTCAATAAAGTCTGCAGTCTAGCAATTAAGTCAGGCAATAGGCACAGATACACCTTTTATCTGGCACAAACGTCATTCTTAGCACAGGGGTATTATGTCCTACCTACTGGTCAACAGAAATCTAAACCATTTAAATGCATCCCTGGACCTAGTCAAGTTTACTTTACATAGTTTGTCACTGAGGAGCTCCCTAGGGTTCACCAGAGGACCCATAACATGCTTTCCTCTCATCAGTACTCACAGGGCTGCACTTTTAGCAGATGACAGCCCTAAGGTGGTCCGACTGCTGGTTCCTGGCCTACCTGTGCAAATCGCATTCGATTCCGCTGGTAGGCGGTCTTCTGGGTGCGCGCTGTGTCCACCAGCTGGAAACTCGTTTCATCCTCCTCGTGGAAATAAGCATACTGACTTCCACCACCAAACTGAGAGGAGTACTTATCTGGAGGCAAAGGGGATAGTGTGTAACAACCGCCACCTACAGACTTACAAATACACACCAGCTTAAAGCCCTGCAATTTAAGTGTGGATCCCTAACATTGGCTGGGAGCATCGTAGGCATGCAGACTCACAGCCTCACCCAGACCCACTGACTCAGAACCGCATTGAAAAAGGATCCCCAGGTGATTCATGCACATTTAAGTTTTAAAGTCAAGACAGAATCTGAGGAACTCAAGATAAACCCATTCCACTCTCTGCCTTAGTCTGTAAGAATATGAGTTAAAATTTATTCTTGCAGGAGGCAAATATGGGATTTAAGTACTATCACTCTCATCATCTGGTGCCCAAGGCAGGCATGTCTAATGGCTGCCCTCAGACTCAGATAATCTTAACTTACTATTCCAGAGAGCCACTTCCAACTATCTCTGATAAAAAAAACCAATTACTGTATCAGTATCTTAAACCCAGGAATTTAAAACTGGAATCCATTGCGTGGCTTCACCGGTTCACTAAACCCCACACAATGAAATGCAAAATGGGAATATAAAAGGGCCCATGGCTCCTCAAAAATGGGGGGTGGGTGTGGGATTCCCACTATAACAGGTAAAACTTCTTCAATAAACAGTCTAACTTTTGGGGCTACTTCCAAAAAATGTGGTAGTGTCCACAGTCTAGAATAAGCTCCTAAAACTATGTATTATCAGCATCTCGTCACCATTCTGGAACACTTTCAGGTGGAGGTTATCAGAAAAAGTAACCATTTTCCCAAGGACCTGATTGGGCAGTCAGTCAGAGAACACTTACTCGTGTACCTCTTATCTTGGTATGTGGTGCCCGTCCAGTCTGCAACCTAGTAAGAGCAACAAGGGAAGACAGAGCACACAGGTCAAGCAGGCAATTTTCTGTTGACCCAGAAACCCCCCAAAGCGAGACACAGAGTGGGAAAGCAGCAGGATCGGCTCACAATGCCTTTGTAAGTGCCCAGCTCTCCTATGACTCCTGGAGGTACCCAGAGGCCATAACCTTTCTCAGCTGGTGTCCCCGTAAGGAACACAGGAGTAATGCTTTTGAGAGAATAAAACGGAAATGAACTCATGGAGGGTAGCAGCCACAGATTTGAAGATTCAGACTCCTGCGGACAGACACGTACCTTTCCCAGCCGATCTCCTTTGCTGAATGGCTGGTAGGGCATATCCCGAAACTGCTCGGGGACTGCGCAGGGACCCCAGCCTGAGGGGTTGTCCTGGATCACGGGTGTCATGAACTTTGCCATCTTCTAAAACCTTAAATATACAAATACTGTAAGTAGCTTCATGAAGAAAAGCCTAAAGGTAAAAAAAAAGCCTATTGGAGGAAAGCTAAGACACAGATTAAATTAAAAAGCAACATATGAATTGGAACCTTCAAATCTTAGCTATTCCTTTGTTTTCTTGTAAATAATATTGTGAATACTTGTAACTGATAAGACTACTAACAAAACTGCTTTGCTACACTTCACTGACATTTTTCCACTGTAACATCTTTCAAAGGAGTCTGCACCTCATGCTTGGTGGGGTGTCATATCTTAATTGGCAGTTTTTCTTTCTTACTGTTATACAGATAATGGTGCTACATAAAATAACAGTGTTTCTTAAGTTTGGTGGTGTCTCAAAGATTTGATAAAATGCAGTAACGTTTTTTTCAAGTGTAATTACTATGTCCAGGTTCTTAGAAACACTTTCACCGAGACATAAAATATTTAGCTTCCCTAAACCCATTTCTTCATGTGTAAAGTAAGTTCGTTGTTTTATTAGTTAACACACACAGAGGTTCTTTCATTGTAAATGCTACACGGTTACTATTCAGACTTGTAAAAATACATCTACTCAGAGTGCTGAGGAAAATAAGAGTCTGTAGGTATATCCTGAAATTCAACTTTCTTTTCTTGTTCTTCCAATAGTCTGTCAACGCAAATCCTTATGCAGAGCAAGTGGACACAGAGCTAAGCCAAAGGCCATAGAAGTGGCCACACCTCAAATGTTCATAGGTATTTGAGTACCAGGCATTGTTCTCAGTGATTACCACGCATATTCACTAAATCCCCCCAACCGTCTGAGGGAGGGGCCAGTATTGTCCCTACTTTTCAGAAAAGAAATGGCCCAAAGTCATAATGCTGGTTGATGAAAAATATGAACCCGGGCCGTCTGGCTTGAGTCCATACGCTGCCTAATGCGACAGCTCCTCTCAGGAGGGTAAAAACCAGGGCTTCCCAACGGATGTTTTAGGCAGTTTCTATCAAAAACCCTCTGAATGTGCTCAGATGGCGAGTTCCCAGAGGCAATCTCATTATACAAATATTTCTGGAGGCCAGAGAGCAACCAGGGAGCACAGGATACTGAAGTTAGTAAGGAGACGAAGGTTCCTGCAGAGGTGCTGGCAACTGGAGTTGGGCGACAACGAGAGAATGAACTTGCAAGCTCTAACCGCCAACTCTGAACTTAGGAAGTTTTACTACAAAAAAAGGGCTGGAGGGGAGGGGTGGCAGTCGCAGAACTTAAGTATTGGGCTGCTACTCAGTGTCAGGCACTGTGCTGGAGACCTCAACACCACTGACTCTCCCACACCCCACTTTAGAGAGAAAAACTTGTAGCTCAGCCAAATCAAGGGGTTGATCTACCCATCATTTCAAAATAGACCTGGTCCCCAGGGCTGTCTGCGGTAAGTCCAGCATTCTTCCCATCCTATTCTGGCTGGAGAGCAGCCTGAAAAGATCTGGGGTTTCAGGCTGTATTTAACAGCACAACAACGATGTCTCCAAATCACACTTTTAAAAGTCGGCTTGACCTGTCAGCTGGAGGAGGAAACAGGCCCAGGGCTTAACAGGCATTCCTCCTGGGGGTGGAAGTCCAGGTTTTCACACGTGCGAAATAAGTGAGCAGAATGGAACAGGTAGGACCGACCGAGCCCTTCAGTTAAAATGGCCTGACAGCCGGGCGGGCACCAACAGGGCAGACAGGGGGCCTGGTTGCAGGCGGCGGCCGTATTGTGTAATTATCGCCGTCCCTACAGGTCGTGCCCCATCAAGCCCCGGTGGTTCCGATCTGAGCTCAGACATGCTCCATCTTAGCTTCTGCTTCACATTAAACTAAAGGAAGGAAACCTTCAGACTGGGAACTCCTCAGGGCAGGCCGAACACCGACTCGCTTGGCATTCCCAGAAACTCAAGCTTTGGCCACTTAAAAGACCCGGAGACCCAGCTGGGTCAAATGACATTATTAAATTCGCTCAGCCCTCGTCCACTAAGCGGAGTTTAGAGCCAGGGACCTCACGCACCCCGCACGCTGGACCTGGGCCCCGGAAGGAGGATTCCTGCCACTTCCAGCGGAGGGACAGCGGCAGCAGGAGGGGACGTCCGGGGGGTCTCTTCCGGGAGCCTCTGAAAGCCGGGCCCAGCCCAAGCCGGCTCCGGAGGCCCCCGGAATCCTACGGAACACGCCACTCACCTGCACGGGCCTCGGCCGGCCCGGATGGCGAAAGATGGACCAGGCCAAACGGCTCGCTACCTGCTGCACTCCGAGGCGACTGGAAAGGAGGGACGGTGCGCGCGCAGTGACCGGCGCCGTAAACCTGACCGGCGCTGCCGTAAACTGCGCTGCCGCTTTCTTTGGTCTCGGCGGCGGAACGCGAGTCGTAAAGCGAAGGCACACCGGAAGTTTGTCACTGCTCTTTGGGAGGTGGCTTCGTTAGCCTTGTCGGCTCTTAGACACAAGAAGGGTGTTTACAGTTACGCCCGGGGGCGCCCGGCGACGCCCCGAGAAGGCGTTTAGGTTTATTGCAACGTGGCAGCCGGGCCGTCAGAGCCGGAGGCGGGAGCGGCTGACGGCCCCCCTGTGTCCCACAATGCCTTGCGGGCCGTTCGTCCTCTCAGTACGCAGTCGCTCCGGCCTTCTCTAGCCCATCACGTGATGCGAGTCTCACCGGCAGGGGGAAGTTGAGCGTCCGAGGCGGATTTTATTGTTATTCTCCCGCTCCCCCGCCCCCGTCTTTTCCAGTTTGGGAAACCGCGGTCTAGAGCTGTCAAGCGACCTGTCCAGCCTGCTAATGTAGTTCTCAAACTTTACTGTCCGTCGAGGATGTCGGGAGCCCTCATTTGAAAAATGCAGACTCAAGTATGTGGAGCCCACGAACGGGCATGTTAAATCAGCAGCTGTGATGCTCAAGTGGCCACTCAGGAAGCACCTTCCTACGGTGGGCGACAGTGCTGCCCTTCCCGCAGCTCCCAGCTACGGCGTTTGTCCTGGAATCTTACTGGGGAATTTCAGAACTTTGAAAGCGAATCTCTTGAGGGCGCGATTGTATTCAAACCTCAGATCCTCCTCTACCCTGTCTCCTAGGTTTCCCTTGTCAGTCTTCCAACCTGTCTCCTTTATTGGAAAATATATCGCTATGAGATCTGACATCTGCTCTTGACTGCCCCTTTCTAGCTGGGCCTCGCTTTCCTCAGCTATCCTAGGAGATAATACTAAGGAGGTGCTGTGAGGGTAAAAGGAAAAGTATGTAAATCCACTCGCCAGTTGGGTGAGCTTGGGCAGGTTATTCGATCTCTAAAGCGGCTTGCTTCTCTGCAAAATGAAAATGTGAATAGCAGCACCTGTTTCCATAAATTGCCTCCCAATCTGCTCACCTTCCAATTCTAATGTTTTTTTTAAAAATATATTTTATTGATTTTTTACAGAGAGGAAGGGAGAGGGATAGAGAGTTAGAAACATCGATCAGCCGCCTCCTGCACACTCCCCACTGGGTATGTGCCCGCATCTAAGGTACATGCCCTTGACCGGAATCGAACCTGGGACCTTTCAGTCCACAGGCTGACGCTCTATCCACGGAGCCAAGCTGGCCAGGGGTCCTAATGTTTGTTAATGGGACCCAAGGAATGGTACTCTGTGCAAAACCTTTTAGTTATCAGTACTAGTCCCTTTCCCTTCTGCAACCACATTTAGTTCTCTACTAAGTCCTCTTTGTTTTTCTTTCAGAATCCATCTTGAACGCCATTTCCCCACCACCTCCAGCCTTGTGTCTGGACCCTTAGTGCCCACTCTTGCTCCTCTAGGGTTACCTCTCACGTGGTGGTCAAAGCTCGAGTTACTCCCTCAGGGAGGTCTTCTCTGACCACCATTCCTAAGACCGCTGCTCCTCCCGCCACCCCTCTTCACCCCCTCAGTCTGCTCTGTCTTCCTCATAGTACTCATCACACTGAAATATTTTTGTTTCCTTGTGTAGGCTCCGTCTCTGCTTCTAGAGGGCAAGCTCTGTGCTGGCAGCAACTCTGGCTTATCTAGAACAGTGCCTGGCAATACACGTGTGTTGAATGGATGGCTAGAGATTTTGTGAGAATTAAATGAGAACATGAATTTAGCACCTTACTCCGGGCACGAAGTAAGCACTCAGTTAATTTAGTGTAATGGATATCAATAGTAAATTGTAGTGTTTTGTAAATTACAAGGGGAGATGTAGCTTTTCTCAATTGCTTAGATCATGTCTCTCCCCTAGGGCCCACAGGCCATCTGCCACAGTCTCTCTCTCATGTCAGAGTTTAATCATCTTTTTCATATTTTTTGCCCAGACGTCCTTGCACACCGCAGATGGAGGAGGATTTGAAGTGTCCTGTCTTATTCTCAATAGTGGGTCCCTGGTCTTGGATGGGATCTTGCCTCCATTCCTCCTCCCAGCTGACTCCCGTGTTGTCTCTTTCCGCCTGTCACACTGTCCTTTCTCCACATGACATAAAGCTGGACTGATCCTCCTTCATATGAAATCGGAGCATGCCCAACCTCCCTCCCTCCCTCCCTCCACTGCTGAAAATCTTTCAATGGCTTACCTTGATCCTGAGGATAAAAGCCCTTTCTGTTCCATGGCCTGCGAGTTTCTAAGTGGCAGCTTTTCACTGGCTGCTTCCTCTTTCTGGGTCATACCCAGGCTCACTTCCTGTCTTGAGACCTTTCTCACCTGCTGTTCTCTGCTGCCTGGAACGCATCTCCCTTAGATCTTCACTGTTTCCTCAACACACAGGCATTTCCTGACCAGCCCTCTGAGTAGCCTTGCCCTGTCCTCATTCACTCTGTTGCCCACCATGAGCCTGGTACTATTCCAGGAACTTACATTAACTCATTTAATTCTCACCGCAGCCCTATGAGGTAGGGCCTGTTATTCTCTCCATTTTACAGATGAAGATACGGAGGCACAGAGAGGTGTTCTAGGGTGAGCTGTGCATAGTGAAGCTGGGGTTTCAAACTCGGGAGATACCTGGCCCCGCTGCTTCTGCGCATCCCGTTGGTGTTTTACTGGATGCCTAACATTGATCTCTCTTCCACTTACCTTGTTGGTTTATTTGTTTACTTTTTTATTGTCTCCTCATTAGAAAGGAAGCCTCATGGGAGGTGGGGTCTTACGTGTCTTGCTCACTGCGGTGTCCCCAGCACCTAGGATGGTGCTTACCACGTAGCTGGTGCTTGGGAAATGTTTGTTGGATGCATGAGTGACCTCTGAGGACAGGTTTTCTCCTTCAGGTGTCCATTGGCACAGCCCTCCATTGCCGCGCTTCCCACACCTCTGGTCCTGTTACCAGTGTCCCCCCACCTCTCCTAACCCAGGCCTGGATTCCTCTAGCATGGGGCCGCATTATTCCTGGAGGAAGCCACATGGCCCTGCACCGTGCCTGGCATACAGAGTTTGCTCAGGAAATGCGGGATGAATCCAGGGCCTTCATATTCTGATTTTAGAGACTAAAATAAAAACCTAGCGTTCTTTCCAGGGAAGTATAGGTGTGAGGGCAGGTGCTCTTTTCTCAGAAGGAGCTGGAGATGTCATAGTGCCTGTCCAGTCTGGAGAGGCACAAACTCGGTTTGGGTAATTGAGTGACTAACTTTTCATGATTGCTAGTAATGGCTGACATTAGCACAGCAGTTTACAAGGGACAAATCCCTTGATTTCATTTTAGCCTCATGGCTACAGTAGTTTAGTGCCAGTTTTACAGATGGTCAGATGAGGCGGCGAGAGGTAAAGGCACTAATACAGGTTCACACATCTAGTAAGAGGCAGAGCCGGGATTTCATTTATTTACTTTCAGCAAACATCCATGGGGCACCTTCTGTGTGCCTGGTATGGAGTTAGGTGTGGAGGAGGAGCAAGGAGCAGAGCAGGTCCTGCAGTCCAGGAGGGTACCTTCTTCTTCTTTAAAAAAAATATTTTTTTTAAAAATTGATTTCAGAGAGGAAAGGAGAAGGAGAGAGAGAGAGATAGAAACATCAATGATGAGAGAGAATCATCGATTGCCTGCCTCCTGCATGGCCCACACTGGGGATCAAGCCCGCAATCTGGGTATGTGCCTTGACTGGGAATCGGACTGTGACCTCCTGGTTCATAGATCAATGCTCAACCACTGAGCCATGCCAGCTGGGCGTGGAGGGTGCCTTCTAAAAGAGGGGAGGTAGACCATGGGCAGGTGTACAAAGAGATGTGAGAAGTGGGTAAACATGCTGTAACAGGGATGTGTGTTAGAGAATGATTTGGGGCGCAGCATTTTTAAGGTGGTGCTTCAGGAAGGCACCTGTGAGGAGGTGACGTTTGAGCAGAGACCGCAGGATGAGAGGGAGCAGGCCCGGGGAGATCTAGGGGAAGAATATTTCAGCGGAGGCAACAGGCCCTTTCTCTTCCCACATGTGGCCTCTGGGGAGGGAAGGGTGAGTGCTGGGGCCGTAGGGATCCTCTTAGTCACTCATCTGGTAAACCTGCACTCCAGACAGGCATTTCCTTGTCACCTGTCTGGCTGGTTGCTGTTACCTCTGCTTGGATGTGCCTAGTGTTGGGGGGATCACTCTAACGATGCTCCTTTGCCCTCTATGGATTTCTTTTTGGTAAACTTTCCTAGTTTCTTTTTTTTTATTAATATATTTCTTTATTGATTTCAGAGAGGAAGGGAGAGGGAGAGAGAGATAGAAACATCAATGATGAGAGAGAATCATTGATCGGCTGCCTCCTGCACGCCCCCTACTAGGGATCGAGCCTGCAACCTGGGCACGTGCCCTTGGCCAGAATCAAACCTGGGACCCTTCAGTCCGCAGGCCAACGCTCTATCCACTGAGCCAAACTGGTTAGGGCCTTTATTTACTTCTTGGTGTCACCCCAATTCCAACTTGGTCCCCGTTTTCTCATGCCTTCCAGTTTGTCAGAATTCTAACAAAACGGCCACTTCCAGAACCACTCCTTGCCTCCAGGACTTCTCTTTTCTTACTTGGTTTCTACCCTCCTCTTTGGGTCCTTTCTTAACCTCCTGCATGGCCCCCCACCCCCTCACACAAACAAATGTTCTCTCCCCTACCCTCTTTGGCCCCATCTGACACTCTTATCCTCTCAGCTCCTCTCTCTGCCAGGCAGGTGAGCTACCTCTGAGCTGTTGGCTTGGGCATCTGCCTTGAGCTGACTGGATTTTGCCATTTTTTTCCTCCTAATGTGCTCTTTTTTGTGCTTGGAAGGCCCCTTTGTTCTTTGACTAGCTTTTTTTTCAATATTGCATTAAAAATATCTTTATTGTTGAGATTATTACAGATGTCCCTCTTTTTTCCCCTTTTGCCCTCCTCCACCCAATTCCCACCCTGCCCCAGGCCTTCAGCACCCAATGTCTGTGTCCATAGGTAATCCATGTCCTATATAATAAAAGGCTAATATGCAAATCAACTGAACGGCAGAATGACTGGTCGCTATGACACACACTGACTACCAGGGGGCAGATGCTCAACGCAGGAGCTGCCCCCTGGTGGTTAGTGTGCCCCCACAGGGGGGAGCGCTGCTCAGCCAGAAGCCGGGCTCATGGCTGGCAAGTGCAGCAGTGGTGGCGGGAGCCTCTCCTGCCTCCAAGGCAGTGCTGAGGACCCCCGAGGGGTCCTGGATTGTGAGAGGGGGCAGGCCAGGCTGAGGAAACCCCCTCCCCAGTGCACGAATGTCATGCACCGGGCCTCTAGTATACATATAAGATCTTTGTTTAATCTCTTCCCACCGTCCCCACCCTCCTTCCTTCTGAGAATCATCACTACTCAGGAGCTGCCCCTGGTAGTCAGTGCACTCCCACAGCCAACCTCCCGCGGCACCTCTCCCTGGCTGGCCAACCTCCTGCAGCCCCTCCCCATGGCCAGCCAGCGAACCTCCTATGGCCCCTCTCCCCGGCCGGCCCCTGCATTGGCCCCGATCGGGGGGAGGGGTGGCGGGCTGGCCGGCCAACCTCCCAGGGTCCTTCTCTCTGGCTGGCCAGCCCCTCCCCCCCCCGCCCCCATAGGCCTCGATTGCCAGCCAGGCTGAGGAACCCCACCCGTGCATGAATTTGTGCATCAGGCCTCTAGTTTCATATAATACTGGTTTGGTGGTGATGAACTCCTTTAGCTTTTTCTTGTCTGTGAAGCTCTTTATCTGACCTTCAATTCTAAATGATAGCTTTGCTGGGTAGAGTAATCTCAGTTGTAGGTCCTTGCTAGTCATCTCTTTGAATATTTCTTGCCACTCCCTTCTGGCCTGCATAGTTCCTGTTGAGAAATCAGCTGATAGGCATATGAGCATTCCCTTGTAGGTAACTAACTGCTTTTCTCTTGCCGCTTTTAAGATTCTCTCTTTGTCTTTAGCCCTTGGCATATTAATTATGATTTGTCTTGGTGTGGCCCTCTTTGGGTTCCTCTTGTTTGGGACTCTCTGTGCTTCCTGGACTAGTAAGTCTATTTCTTTCATCAGGTAGGGGAAGTTTTCTGTCATTATTTCTTCAAATACATTTTCAATGTCTTGCTCTCTCTCTTCTGGCACCCCAATAATGCGAATGTTGGTATACTTGAAGTTGTCCCAAAGGCTTCCTACACTATCTTCATATTTTTGGATTCTTTCTTCTTTTTGCTCTTCTGGTTCAGTGTTTTATGCTTCCTCATATTTAAAATTGTTGATTTGATTCTCAGAATCCTCCACTCTACTGTTGAATCCCTGTATATTATTCTTTATTACCTTATAACCATGGTTTTGAACTCTATATCCAGTAGTTTGCTTTCTTCCATTCTTTCATTTGTGACATGTTTCTTTGTCTCTGCATTTTGGCTGCTTCCCTGAGTTTGTTTCTATGTACTGGGTAGAGCTGCTTGGTCTCCTTTAGCTGGTAAAGTGGCCTTGTCTAGTATATGTTCTATAGGGCCCAGTGGCTCAGCCTCCCCAGTCACCTGAGCTGGGAGCTCTAGGTGTACCCCTTTGTGGGCTGTGAGCACAGTCTTGTTGTAGTTGAGACTTGATTTCTGTTGGTGTCACTGGGAGGAATTGACCTCCAGGTTAATTGGCTGCAAGGACCAGCTGCAACTACAGTGGGAGAGCTCTGTGCAGGAGACACCCCTATGGAGCAGGACTTGCTTTGGTGGGGCTTTGGTGTTCACTGAGTCTGTCCCTTGAATGTGTCACTTATGGATGTATAGAGTTGTAATCTGGTATGGATTGATACTGACCACTGGGTAACACTGGTTCTTGGGTGTCCAGGGAGAAGCAAAGTCAGCCACTGCCTGGCCTGGGGCCACCCAGTAGGAGCTACAGAGAGTTATGCAGATCCCTCCTCTTTGTATCGGGTTTGGAAGTGCCCAGATGAGGCCCAGCTGTGAAGCAAGGCAGGCTGGTATTGGTGCCAGGTGTTAGGCCTTTTATTGATAGGTTTGGGCCTCCCTGACCCAGCTTCAGCTTATTTGAAAGATTTCAGCTTGAGCAAGGACAGGCAATTCATATGCACACAGCTTGGGTGGGGTTGTAAATTGGATGAGGCGGGGTCTTAGGGAATCCACTTGGGTGGAGCAAAGAGAAATGGCTGCTAGTCAGCCCTGCGACTGGGGTGGCCCCACCATACGAACAATGATCCCTACGAGCACCTCCATCTGGGAGAAAGCTGCCCCTGAGTTCCTGCCCTGATGCCAGATAATCGAGTTCCTCCTCGTATGTGTCTGTGTTCCCCAGAGCCTTGCCGTGGGGCTGGAGCTCAGAGGAAGCAGGACCTTGTAAGTTCATTTTGTGGTGCCTGCCTTTTAAGAGGAACAGCTGGGTTTCCAGCAGCCTCTGTGTCACTGAACCCCAATCCCCACTGGTTTTTACAGCCGTAGTTCTTACTGCCCGTAGGAACTTATTTTCCCAGCTCTGGGACTCTGGGCTGGGGGTCTGGTGTGGGGCTGGGACCCCTTGCTCCTCTGGGCGGCCTCCACAGAGATGATCTCCCTCCCGATTAAAAAAGCAGCCCATGTGGGTGCCGGACCAGCCCTTTCAGTGCCTCTGCACCTCCTATCAGTCTCAGTGCTTTCTGTACTTCTCTAGTTGTAGGACTTCCACTCAGCCAGCTTTCCAGCAGTTCTGAATGATGGTTGTTCTGTATTTTAGTTGTAATTTTGATGTGGTTGTGGGAGGCGGCGAGTATAGGCATTGACCTACGCCGCCATCTTCAGATCTCTACATTCTCTTTGACTAGTTTTCAGCTCTTGGTCTAATGTCACTTCCTAGGCTATGCCTTCCCTCCCACCGCAGACCAGGTTCCCTGTGCTTCCCCTTCCTGACACTCAGCACTGAAAGTTAAGTGATTACTTGTGCACTTATTTGGTCCATGTATGTCTCTTCCATCACTTGGAGCACCTGGTGGGGTGGGGATAGGGCCTGTTTTTTCCCAGTTGCTGGAACAGTGCCTGATAGAGTAGGTGCCCAATAAGAATTTATTGACTTAACTAGTCAGTGAATAAATGGATCAAAATTGGTATGAGATCATTCAACTGGCATTACCCAGAGCCACCCCTTTGCAACAGGACCCTGCGTGTATAATGATATATGAGATTCTTGTCTTCAAAGATCTTCTCATCTAGCTGAGGGAGACTCATAGGTGCCTGCCAGGCCCTCCATGTACATCCTCTCATGTCATGTCTAGAAATGAGAGGCACCAGTATTACTGATTTCTGATCAGCCTTTTATGCTAGTCTTCTCTTCCTGTCCCTTCCAGGTAAAGCAAATGCACTTGCTAATAGGAACCTCCAATGCCTTAACAAGGGAGGTAGTGTTTATTGAGTGCCTACTGTATGTCAGGCACTGTGCTAGTGCTTTACATAAACATTCATCTCTTTAATTCTTTCTGATTTCTCTGAGAGAGGCATCAACCCTTCCATTGATGCAGGTGGGGAGAATCAGGCTCAGGATGGTTGGGTACTTAGCCCAGTGGTCGGCAAACTCATGAGTCAACAGAGCCAAATATCAACAGTAGAGCGACTGAAATTTCTTTTGAGAGCCAAATTTTTTAAACTTAAACTATATAGGTAGGTACATTGTTATTAACTTAATTAGGGTACTCCTAAGGCTTAGGAAGAGCCACCCTCAAGGGGCCAGAGAGCCGCATGTGGCTCGCGAGCCGCAGTTTGCCGACCACTGACTTAGCCCAATGAGTGAGCTGCTGAGTCAGGAATTGAGTGTGGTTTTGTGTCCTCAAAAGCTTTCACCCTTATGGGTGGTGAAGGGCTTTCCTAAGGTTTGAAGAGATCCCCTTTTCCTCCTGGGACTCCTCCACGGAAGGGAGAAATCCAGAATTTCCTCATGAGAGGGGCTTAGTGACAGCTATCTGGTAAAGGGGGAGGCCTGGGCTTATTTTGAAGCTGCAATTGCATAACAGACGTCCTGTTTTTACCGAGGTTGTGCATTTACTGGGGGAAAGCATTCTGGAGGTTGTGTGGGCACTGAGCCTGAGCCATCTCTTGGAAAAACTGATGAGCATACAGACAATGGAACTGGGAGAAGGGGAAGGGACAAGGGAACAAGCATCAATTTCTCAAATGCTCCCTATACACGAGGCACCTCACTTACATTGATTATGCTAGACTGTGAGGTGGAGGGTTGTTGCCAGGATTTGTAGGGTGCTCTAAGAACTTGGCCAAATGTAGGCTGACCATATAATTTACTATCCAAACCGAGGTGCTTCTGGGAGAGGAAGGCATTGCTACCACATTAATTATACCAGACAAGAGGTGTAAACTGGGAGTGTTCCGTGCAAACTGGGAGCTGTGGCCACCCTACAGAGAAGGGGCGTAAAATTGCCCGTGTCCGGTTATCTTTTGCTGCGTAACATCCCCCCAAAACGTGGCAACTTAAAACAACAACAATCCTGTTACTATTATCTCTCTTGGTTTCTGTGGTCAGGAATTTAGGAAGGGCTTGACTAGGTGGTTCTGGCCTGGGATCTCTCCTGCCATTGTTGTTGGATGTGGATGCGGCTGGCGTGGCTGGTGGCTGGCTAGACCTTTCTCTCTCTCCATTTCATCTTAGGGCTTCTCTCACGGAGAATTTGGGCTTCCTTACAACATGGCGACCTCAGGACAGCCAGACTACAGCGCTTCCACGGGAGCTGAAGACTTCCAGGGCAAGTATTCTGGCTAAGAAGCTGGAAGCTGCACGGCGTTCTGCGATCTGGCCTCAGAAGGTACGCACATCACTTCTGCCCCTTCTGTTGGTTACCAGCAAGTTGAAAGCTTGCCCAGAGCTAGGGCACAGGCTCTAGAAGAGCATGTGGAGGGAGAGTGTGGCTGTGGCCACCTTAGGAGCATCAGATCTGCCGCAGATGTAAACCGGCCTTTTCTAGGAGCCACCAGTTGGTTGTCTGCAAATACGTGACTGAAGAGTTTGGGCCAATCAAATGCCAGGCAGAGTTTCTGAGGAAGTGTGGTTGGGAGGAGGCCTGGAATGTGACTGGCTGTCCAAGGAAAACTGATTAGAAGGAATGGAGGCGTGAATGGGAGTAGAGAAAGGGGAGAGTCATAGAGCCAGAGACTGGCATTGTCCAGGGAGCAGGCTCCTGGCTGTACTGGCTGGAGCATCGTTCCCATTTCCTGGGCAAGCTGTCCCCTCAAGTTGCCTCTGCTGAGAAATGCTTCTTCAGACTAATGCTGTCCCTTGTTCTGCCTTCCTCCAACTAGTGAGCCCTGTGAGACATGAATCATCATGGAGCTTTTACTGCAGGGAATTCTGTGCTGGTCAGGCGGATAGAAATGCCCTGTCCTGCTGCCAGTTGGATTTCTTGGGCTCTCCCTTAGTAAATGGATCTTCTGTTTGTGCATCAGCCTTACAAGGTTGTTTAAAGGGAATCTGCCTCTGCCTTGTGTGTAGACATACCTCATACTGTGATGGGTTCACCAAGGTCTCCTCCTGGGCACCTGTCTGGTGGCCAGCACCCCTTCCAGTGCAGCAACCTGCATCTCCACATGAGCTTCCTAAAAACCACCAAAGGGATTATAGTCCCATTTTATAGATGAGAAAACTGAGGCACAGTGAGGAGGTATGTCTTGTTCAAGGTCAGCCAGCTGGTAAAGGTGCAATTGGGATGGAAACCCAGGTGTGCCTGGAGCCAAAGCTGGCACTTATACAAATTCTAAGATCCCCAAACGCTCTGAAAACCACTTGATGTGAATTGAAAGTGAGGTTCTTTAGTCTTTATTTTACCCCACTTGGTGTGACTATTTATACATTTGCTGTGGAAAAATTAACGGGTTTATGGAGTACTGTCCCAGAGTTTGCTGGACATATTGCATACAATGCGGTAGGGCTACCATAAACCTCCTGAAATCCAAAGTTGTAAAACACATTGAGCCCCAAACTTTCCCTTCTCAGCAATGTGGAGATCACTGCCCCCGTTTTACAGATGAGAGAGACTGAGGGTGGGGGATGTGGTGCCCCAGGCAGACTGCATGGAACCTCAGTACTTTAGCATCTTGTTGGAGGTGTGTGGGTAGGAAGGGAAGCCTTTGAGTCACCAGCCCACCCCAGCTTCCCAAGAGCCTCATCGCCCCAGTAAATTCTTAAAAATAGAAAACTTTTAAGGATTAAAGCCCCAGAGGATGCTTCAAGCGCCCTGGAAGAAAGGGAGGCTTGCTGTATATTCCAATGGTCGGCATTCAAATTTATTTTTCATCTCAGCTGGATGTACACTCACCCATCACAGGATCAGTTCTCAGAATAGAGAGGTACCTGTTGAATCATCCACCCCACTTCCTGCCTCATGCGGGCATCTCTCCAAGTGCTGAGCCATCCACTTCTCTCTGTGGCCAGAGATATATCAGGACTTGCAGCCCTGGTGACAGGACACAAAATAGACTCCCATTTCCTTTGGAACCATTTAGCTAGTTTAGAGAATGCTTGGCTTTTTGATGGGATGAGCAATACCCAGGCCTCTCCTTGGCTTTTTCTGTCTCTCTATCCATTTTCTTCGGATGGAAGCTGGGTTTTGGTGTCCTGGGGACAGAGGTAAACACTGATTTTGGCTTGATCTGGCAATGCAGTCACAGGCTGGAAGGTGCCCTCCCTGAACGCCAGGTCCATTTTCTGCAGCACAGATGTTCTTTTCTCTGTTTGTGCCACATGCCCTGGCTCCCACTGTCGTTAGGACTGGTAACCATGCATGCGGCTGCCTGGGGATCCTTGTTGGGTCTGAGTGACTGCCGGTGATATTTAAGGGGGTCTCATGGGGCAGTATGAGACCTGTGGAGAGGGACTGCCTGAATTGGAATCCTAGGTACCACTTGGGCCAGTTGTGCAACTCTCTGAGTCTTGGCTTCCTTGCCTGCAAAATAGATGGGATCAGAGTATGTATGTCATGAGATTTCAGCCAGGTACTATGTAAAGTGCTTAAAGCAGTAAACCCTTAATCCATGCTAGTCTGATTAGCAGGGTCTCCAGAGGCCTGTGGGGGCTATGACTGGGACAAGATCTGCAACATTTCAAAAGCAATCACCTGCCTAGCCGGTGTGGCTCAGTGGTTGAGCATTGAGCTATGAACCAGGAGGTCACAGTTCGATTTCTGGTCAGGGTATATGCCTGGGTTGCAGGCTTGATCCTCAGTGTGGGGCATGCAGGAGGCAGCCAATCAATGATTCCCTCTCATCATTGATTTGCATCTCTCTCTCCCTCTCCCTTCCTCTCTGAAATCAATTAAAAATATATTAAAAAAAAGCAATCACCTGTCACTTATGGGGATGCAGGCTCTGAGCTGGCACGAAGGGTTCAGAGAGACCCAGCAGTGTTCTCAAGTGGCCCGAAGTCTAGTGGGAAAACAGGTGTGGCTGACCCAGGGGCTGCAATACCTATGAAGTAATTAATGAACTACGTATTGTCTACATTTAAAAAGCAGATTTCACATAAATATCCAGATCTTTTGACTTCTCTTAAGATCTGGCAACAGTGGGCTGGCTTCGTTGCATGATGATAAGAAACTGGAGCTGAATAGAAACTGCCCCCCGGGCCAGGGGCCCTCTACTTGCCATAGGCCCCACTCCTCCCAACTGCATCACATCTGACCTTCCTGCCTGGCCCCTGGGGAACTGGCAGATGAATGACGATGCGGCGCTGTGAGTGCTGGGGGAGCACAGCGCCGATGATAACTCAGCCTTGGGCAGTCCGGAAAAGCTTCCCAAGGGAGGCAGTCACAGCTGCTTCTCTGTACAGCCTTCGGATGCTGCTGAACACCCTCGTCGTTATGGCTCAAGGACGTGAATAAAGGACAGTCAGAGCTGGCAGGGATCTCTGGACATAAAGCAACCAAGGCTCAGTGGCTTGTCTGAGTTCACCCAGCCAGCTGATGGCACAAACAGGGCCAGAACCAGGACCGGCACCAGAAATAGGCATGGTCCTCGGGAGTCAGAGAATTTGTACTCTGGAATCTTGAACTTGAGTCCCGTCTCTGCCACTTACTGGCACGTGACCTTGGACAAGTTATTTAATCTTTTTGAACCTCAGCTTCCTTATCTGTAACCGAGGGCTATGGATTCTGATCTCAAAGGCATGTTCTGAGGGTCAAATAATGAGAAAATGGATAGGGGACACTCATAAGCCCCAGAAGACTCCAGACATGTGGGGGTCATTACGATTATTGAAAAATAGCCACTTTCTCCCAACAGATTTTGGTACCATCTGTTCCACAGGGACCTGGATTTGGGATCTGTCCCCCCATCTGTTTTTGCCAGCTCCTTATGGGCACATGCATGCCCCTTTCCAGGTCTGGACCAGGAAGGGATTGTTTTGGAATTCTCTGACCTTGGCTGTATGTAGGACCCTGGGTGCAGGGCCCAAGAGCTTCCCTCTTCCTGGAGGACCCAAGGTCAAAGGAGTTGCTGCGATAGAGATGGGAAGGAAGCAGAATTTCCTGAGAAAAAGAAGAGAAATGTCAATATTTCTTTTATTTCCTTCAAGACACTTACTGCTGTGTATCAGGGCTACCTTTAAGCCCCTTTTCGGTGGAACTATTTAGATGATATAACATTGTTGACTTGAGGTCCCTCTGTCCTGAGTTCAAATCTTGGCTTTCCTTCGGATAGGTTGAGTGTGTCTTTGGGGAAAATTTCACACTTCTCTAAACCTCAGTGTCCTCATTTGCAAAATGGGCTTCCTGAAAGTATTTATATCATTTTGAGGAACTCAAGTAAGATATGGTAAAGGGTCTAGCATAGTGAGAAGCTCAATAAATGCCAATTATTACTATTTTTGGAAATACTATACTAATAACCATTTATCATGTTTGTATAGCATTTTACCATTTATAAACTAGTTGTGCTTTTCTTATCCCATTTGACCTTCACAACTATTCTCTGAGGTGGCCAATGCAGGGATGATAACCTCATTGCACAGATGAGAAAACTGGAGCCCAGAGAGGGCAGTGGTTTGCTCAAGGTCACACAGCTTGTGAGTAGCAGGGTAAAGTTCAAGTCTTCTAGATGAAGGATGAGCAGCTGTGTCCACATCCACAGGGTCAGGCCAGACCACTTGAGCACAAGGGTGGACCACTTCTTGGAGACTCCAGTTCTCCCATAGACCCCATTATGGAGAAATAATCCAGTGTGCTGCTTTAATCCCTTATTGAACCTATTTATACTCTGAGTCTGTACCATCTCTGGGGGTGAAGAAATTTCTCCTTGTTTTGTGGTGTCAGACGAACTGTTCTTGCATTTGTTCTAAAAAGACCTCTGTGGGGTTCTCAGCAGCCCCCACCAGGCCTGGTGCCTGTTTACTAGAAGGTCCATGTGTTTTGAATTCTGGCCACGGGATGGCGCTGTTCCCCAAGGCTTGAAAAGTCATGACCGTCACTGGGACTGCATTTCATTGCATCAGACAGCAATTAAACACCTACTGTGTGCAAGTTGCTGTGGCTGCAGAGGAGAGGACTGCAGTTATTCATTATTGTTGTATTAAGATACATAGAAAACAAAGACAACATCAGTAACCTTGGTACAGATTTTCATAGCTGAGCAATTTACATAGATTATCTGGTTCCATTTGCCAGACAATCCTGATGTAGTAGGTGGGGTGGATCTGTGAACCCCTGTTTGAGGAGGAAACTGAGGCACAGAGAAGTGATGGGACTGTGTGAAGGGACAGAGGAGAGTGGCACATTGGTAGGCACTCTGAATCATAGACGGTGGATCATATGGGGTAGAC